TTAAAATAAAAATATAAATATGCAAACCATGGGGGGGTTTCTGGCCCAATTAGGAGGTTTTTGAAAGGAATTCAGGCCCACTAGAATTCTGGCCACGTTGACTTTCTATGCTTGCGTACATGTGGTTGACTGAGTGTGTATCATGGATTGCATATTCTGGCCATTGGATTGATCTTCCAGATTATGTGGCAAGCCAGCATGTGAAGGTGTATGGTGGTCTTTGAAAGAGACGCTGCATGGAAATATGTTAAAGGCAAAATTATGAAATATGAGAGGGGGACCTGGGAATCGAACCCAGGTCCCAGCGTTTACCCAATGTACGTCCAACCGTCTGAGCTATACGCACGCATTATATTGGAATTGGCAAGCAAATAACATAACATAAAACAACACTTAGTGATATCCACCGCGCCAAAATTCAAATGCGCCAGTCATCAGGAGACACGTCCTCTTTCTTCTTCGTTTTGCCTGAAAATAAAACATAGATAGCGGGGGTTTTAAATCCCCACTAAGCTTCAACCTGAAAAATAGCGATTAGGTGATGGTCAAAAAGAAAAAGGGCGCGAGGTGTGAGATCAATTCGTTTGGATCTCCTGATTTCAATGGTACTGGTCTTATTGTCCAATTTTTCCAGACGAATGAACCCCTCTTTCAAAGTTTCTGAAACCCTAATATGCATTCATGGTAATTTTCTATACAGGCATCCATTCTTCAATTGAATTGTGCCATTAGCTTCAGAATCATCATGTTAGTATAAATCAATCATTAAAAGACATTAATAATGCATGAAAATGCAAACACGAATATGGAAAATTTCATGAAAAATGCAATCCGGTTATACCAATTCTTTGAGTATGGAGGATTGGTTTCGATTGGAATAGCTTCCTGGTAGTGTTAGCAAGCTTTTGGAATCCTTTTGAGGCCTTGAAACCAGCTCTATGTATGAAAACAGTTTCTCACTTTTTTTCAAAAAATGCAAGTTTTGTTCTTTAGGTTTCTGTGCAGCTTGTGTGTCTCCAGCCTTAGGTTTCAATTGTGTACAAGTATATGAAGGGAATTAGGTCAAAAGTCAGCCCAAAATCCATTGTTTTAATGCTTTTGAATATTTGATTTTCCATGATCTTTTCCAATCCTTTTTGCCATGGAAACTTGCCTATTTTGGAAGATTTGGTCTCTTGAGAAGGCACACGAAATATTGAGGTCATGATGGAAGGATTTGCTGCATCAAAAAGATTTAAAATCATTATTTAGTATTTTTCTCATATTTAATTTTAATTAAATGAATTAATAGGATTAAAAATTCAATTAATTAATTAAAAATAAGAAAATAACTCCCTTTTAGCTTAATGGGTCGTGCATAGCTTTTGGATAATGATTCATGGAAGAAATTGAGGCCCATTAGCAATTTTGAGGCATTTGAAGCAAAGTTGACTTTTCAAAATTCCCAAAAATTTCCCAACTTCCACAAGGCATATATTGCTCAATTTTTAAGCTTTGATCATGTTCTTGGACATTTTGGAAAGATCTTGAAGTCCTCTAACCAATGCTCTTTGTCCCATGTCATTTTGATTTACCAATCTCAAGTTATGGTCTTTGACTTAAAGTGCCTTTTTGTTGACTTTTGAAAATGACCTATAATGTTGAAATTGATAACTTTTTGTGAGAGCATTTCTTGGACTTGAAGTGTGAAGATGAGTTGTAGGAAATGTCATTCTCTTCAAAATGAGCTTTGGATGGAATTTTTCTGATAAACCATGTGGAAGTTATGCCTTGGTCAATTTGCAGTTGACTTTTCCAACTGTCCAAAAATAGAAACTTTTGCATCTTGAGACTTTTTGAGCCATGCCTTGAGAATCATGATCAAGAATTGATCAAATGATGTTTGTGGCTTCAAAATAAGATGTTGACCAAAAATTTTGACTTTTGACTGTCAAATGACCATTTTACCCCTGCAGTTGACTGTTGAGCAATTAGGGTTTTTGACTGTGCAATTTTGTGCTGTGAGTCCTGAAACTTGGCATATGGATGCTTGACAATAGGCATGTGGGACTTGAATGGACCCTTGGAAACCTCAATTTCTTTGCCAGAACCAAGACCCTAATTTTTGACTGTTAGGAGGCCATTGGACTGTGCAACCTTTGGGAGGTTTTGAAGCATGATCTTAGCAAACCTTGAAGAATATGGGAGGGAAAATTTTGGGGTGCAACACATTGGTTGGTGTTTTTTTACCTTGAAAAAGAATTTGAGTAATGTTAGAATGTTTTGTGAATTTGATTAAAGAAAAAGTGTTGTAGTTTTAGAAGGGATGCCAAAAAGAAAAGTCAAACAAAAGGGGAATCTCAATTCTACTTGTTGTCATGCTAGTGGACCTAAATTTGAGATTAAGGGGATTCTACCTAATTTTGGCATGCATAGATATCAATCCTAAGGTCTACTTAGTTCAATCTTGACCAAGAATGAACTAAAGATCCTATGAGGAACATGTGATCACACAATAAATGCAAGCAATAAAGAACTTAACCAACATATGAAAGCAAGTACACAACATATGAAAAGTAACCACTTGCTCAAGTAACAAGCACATAACTATGATATCATGTCATCAAGGTAGGATAAGGGAAGTGGTAATAACGCATAACCATGATATTATGTCATCAAGGTAGGATAAAGGGATACAAATATAAATTCTTAACCAAGATATCATGTCATCTAGGAAATAAAAGGGGAAGAGGTAATAATTCTTAACCAAGATATCATGCCATCTAGGCCATAACTAAATAAGAAGGAGCTGTCGACTCTTAACCAAGATATCATGCCATCTAGGTAAGAGAAGAAAATATAAGATGGAGATTGGAAGATCACCACCTAAGCAACAAAGCATCAATGTTTACAAACGTGAGCTAAAGACAAATTGTGGAGGCCAATTGCGGACCCTCATTCCACTTGACCGACTCGATAACAAGAGTAGCACGATTCATAGCATCTACGTACAATGTGAGCTAAGAATGACCTAAGGAATTGAAATTGTGGGGGATGATTGTGGGCCCTCACTCCACCTTATTTGACTTGATTGCAAGCACAAAGTAAAAACATAATTACCTTCTTTATGGTCTTTAAAACAATGTCTTCTTTGAGGTCTTTAAACAATGCCTTCTTTGAGGTCTTTAAACAAACATAATTGTCTTCTTTGAGGTCTTTAAACAAATAGAATTTAAACAAACAAGTTCGCAATGCCTACAGGGGTAGGTCTTCACCCCATGCATCTCTATTCCTACTTCTCATGGAAAAAAAATCAAAATACAATACATAATAAAATAGATGAGAGAAAGTAACAAACATATAACAATCCGCCTTTGCCTAACAAAGCGTAAGAAATCCGAAGATCTTCACGAAAGCTTCACCAATAAAGAAACAAGTTAGAAATCGAATGCCCAAAATAAATATCAGAGCATTATTAATGTGAAAATAAATCACAAGCGGAATGCGCGTTGGTGCACCCTAAAATTTTCCCTCCTAATTTTACTTTTATCTGGCTTACATTTCATTAAAATGTGCATACATATCATTGGTTCATGGTTATGGGGATCAAGGTATTTCAGTGAAGTATCGACTATTTATCGGATGCACTCAGAGTGTTATGCAGGTCATTTAGGCGGTGAATAAAAATTGTCTTTATCATGACTAATCCTGACATATTCCATCATGTCTTGAGTGGTAGGTTGGAGCCAGAAGTTTCGTCTGATTTGGAATAGTTCGGGTTGAAAGTCTGTTTCGGCGCGACAAACTTCAGAATTTTCTAGCTCCGAGCCAGAGTACTATTTTGAGTTGATATTTGATCATCAGACCTGCTTGGATATTATCTTCATTTTTCGTGTTCGGGCCGGGAGCCAATTATGTGCTTAAGATGGTCAAATATTGTTACTGACTTTTTGGGTTACCGATCAACAGTATTTCAGGCGTTCAGAAATTTCCAACTCCGATTTGGTATACCGCCTTGAGGTGTTCTCTCCGTTATTAAATCCGCCTCGACTTTCTATCCAACTTCCGTGTTCAGGCCGAAGGCTAATTTCTGAAGGATGGTCTCCGAATATGTGAATCTGTCAGGTTTAAACAACGGGAAAATACGGGTGAATAGTGGCTGAACCGTCATTTCAGGCGCACTAAAAAATCATAACTCCTAGCCAAAATACCGTATGAGTGCGGTTCCGGTGCCCAAAATTCTGTTTCGATGTCATCTTGATACCATCTTTTATGACCAAGAGCTGAGTCTACAAGAAAGGTGGTGGAAATTGCGAGTTACTGAGAAATAATTGAGCAGAATTTGGAACCTGTCAGCTCGGTTTCCAATATTTAAAAATTTATATCTCGCTCAATTTTTACCGTATCACGCTGGTTCTTGAAGTGTTGGCTCACAAATTTTGTCTACTTCAACTTCATTTCATATTTCAGAATCGAACGGTGGTCCGAGGACCTCCGTTGTTGGCTTATTTTGCAAAGCGAAGTTTTTGGACCTGCAAAAAAGACTGAATGTCGCTTCACTGGAAAATTCATATTAAATTCACCATTTATCAGACGACACTCAGTTTTTGACATGATGTCAGGGGCTCGGAGATATATGATTCTTCTGTTAAAGTCGAGTCGAGATTCTAATTTTTGGAGCATGACCTTATGACTTGTCCGAATAGCAGAGGTCAAATAAGTTGATATTATGACTTAATTAATTTTTGACAGTACCGTCTCACTACTTAAACATGTCGAAACATGTTCAAATCTTGTCAGGAACTGTCTGTTCTTTTTGAGTAACGTCTGTGACTCAGAGGCGAATAAATTCACAGGAGACTCAAAGTCAAAAAGTTTTACGGATCACAATGTAATTTTCACTTAAACGGAGAATAAGTTGAAAATTTATTTTTTCTACCACACTATATATTAATTTTCACTCAGAGAAATTGGAAGACACACATCATTTCTTCAATTTTCACTCCCACTTCACTCATATTCTATCTTCTCTCTCTATACTCCACCACCACACAAAAACTCTCCACCACCATCAACCACCAACAACCACCACCCCTAACAGCCAACCACCACAAACTCCGGCAAATCACCGCTAATTTCCGACCACTCCCCCTCCGGTAACCAACCCCTACCGGACTCCACTTCTCTCCGCCGGCAAACTCATCCGACCGCCTTCCTCCTCCTCCGCAAGAGCTCCGGCCGAGCTTCGATGAACTCCTCCAATTCCGGCGATGTACTCCCTTCCGCTCAAGACTCCACCGCCGGTCCTTATCATCTTCACCATCATCTTTATTTTTTTTTGCAATTCTCCATTGATTCTTGAGGTGACACATTCTCATTCTTATTTTTGACAATTACTTGTGTAATTTGGCTCTAATTGTGATTTTGACATAGAATTGTGGAATTGTTGACAACAATTGTTGATTAGGAATTGATTTAGGGATTAGGTTGTAAGTAGAATTTGATTAGATATTAGATTCTTGATTATAATTAGAGTCAATATAAATTGAATTCTCAAGAAGTTTAGGTTGATTTTAAAGAATTGGTTTAGATTCTTTGATGTAATTGGCTTTTGGATATTCAAAATGATAGAGAAAGTTGGCATTGGGTGATTAGTTCAGGAGTTGTTGAAATCTTGAGTTTATACCTTATTTTTTTTAAAAAAAGTGTTGATAACTCATGAATTGGAAATTTGATGCTAAAGGTTCTTTGACATTTCAATATCGATTATATCATTTTGTTCACTTGATTTTGCTCACTAACTTGTGGCCTTGATACTTTTGTGCAAATTTACTATGTTGTGCTAACTTTTCCTCACTTTTGACATATTGCTTATTTTGCTAATTGACCTGGTTGCTTGTGGATTGTCATTTCTATGTGTCAAGATATTTCCAATAAACTCAAATGCCATTTCGAAACATGTTTGACATAAATTTGGTTGAGTTTCGGTGAAAATATCTGAACACTTAGAAATTGACCAAATGTGGCATAATCAGTGTTTTTGTTCTCATTTTTTATTTGTGATGAGTTTTTTCGATTTTTCTTAATGAAAACTGATTCCCTCGAGCCATCTGACATTTTTCACCCGGTTTTTACTGCTGCTAGAACTGTTACGAAAATCACATTTTTCAAGTGAAATTGGACCGAATCAAACGCATTTTAAAACCGTTTGCGTATGTATAGATTCCATTAATTTTCATAATTCATTTCTAATTCATGTTGCTATTTCAATTACCAATTGTAGACAACTTTGCATATGTCAATATTCACCATAAAAGTGCCAAAGTACCAATTTCAAATCTCATTTTGTGGTGAATACTAACATGTAAGAGTTGCTGTTCGAAAATGCAATGTTATGTTCATGTCACTTGTTCATTCATCTCGTACATTACCATGCTTACATTCGATACATGTTACTTTATTTATAAGTTATGTTTCGATTTTGTTGTTATCTACTAATAATTTTGATGAGATGTGCATGCTTTGAGAAGCAATTCAGATACCAATCGCCTTGATGATGGATATGCTTGCTTGCACCTATTTATCACATTTCTGACGCCATTTGCTATTGATGCTAGCTTGTGGAGTGCTCTGGATTTTTGATACTTTGTAAAGCTTATTATTTGTGGATTTATATTATCCGTTTGGTATGGTTTCGGGCCATCTTGTTGTAATATTGTATTTATCGTTTTCAAGAGATCATGAGAAATAGGAAGCAGGAAATAAAGAGCGTGCGTTTAAAGTATTTGTTTAAAGACCTGTACCAAACACCTCTTTCTGTATGCTAATTGTGTTTGGTTTGTTTAAAGTCTTATCTTGGAAGTAGGTGATTTCTGCAGGCGTGTTTACATTTATGCCCAAAGATCTCAAAGAAGACATACATTACAGGTGATAAGTCCTCAAAGAAGGCAAGCATAGAGGGTTTGTAACCAACCCTCACATTTCATCTGTGTCATCCTTAGCTCGCGTTGTACGCTGATGCTTCAGAGTTGTACAAATCATGTGTATCGAGTCGTCAGATGAAAAAGGTTTTGTACCAACCCCCACACCATGTCAGGAGTTCGCACTGGTCGATGTTGACACGCCGTGATTGTCCATAACATCTTCTATCGTCTACCTCGATCTTTCATATCTTGGTTAGATGCTTAGACGCTTTGGACATCACCTTGCTCATTCCTTCTACTTGCCTGACCATTCAATGCCCGGTATAGCTATTATTATCCCACATATAGAGCACTTGGTTAACTCGGGTGATCCGCTCCCCATTGGCTATGGCCTCTTTCTCCCTTTGCTCCCACATACGGTTTCACAAAGCACTTGCTTGTTTACTTACTTTCTATACCATGCTCCCTTAGGTTCACTTTGTTCGTCAACCAAAGTTAGACATTAGGTTTGTAATCTATGCATGCTAAAATAGGATAGACATTCTCCTTTCATCCTCGACTTTGGATCAATCATTGTATGATAACAGTAGGTTTATAAATTAGGTTAGTCTTTCTTAGACCTTTTTCTTATCTTTTTGCATATGCATTAATCCATCTCTTTCTTGGCAAATGTACAAAGTACCTAACAAATTTCAAACCTTTTTCAAGATAAAAGAAACCAACCAATTCAAACTTGTTCTTGCCTCCTGGCTTTTCAAACTTTCAAACTTCTTGCCTCTTGGCATTTTTCCTCTCTTGAGAAGTACCTTCGGGTAATAAATATATTAATTCCTTCCTATGTTGACGCATGAGTCCTCAAAGGTCGGGCTGCGGCAGAAAGCGAATTAATATGGTTCATAAAAAATACAAAATAAACATAAAATATTGAGTCGAACTACGACGCTCTAATTCCCTAAAGGGATACGTAGGCATACAGCGTTGTGGGGCCATACCGAGCATAATTTGTAAATACTCCCTTTTTTTCCCGACATTTTATTTTATTCATGCATTCCCTTTCTTTTTCTTTAAACCTTAAACGTAGACTTTACACACCTATTAGAATAGAATAGCAAGAGTGGATACCGTAGAGTACTACGGGTGTGTGGGGTGTTAATATCTTTCCCATGCGTAACTGACTTCCTTACCCGATCTCTCGGTCGCAAGAACGTGATGTCATCCCTTTCAGGTTTTCTTCGATATTTCCCTTTCTCCTTAGTGAGATAAATACATGTTCGATGGCGACTTTATTGATATATTATCAGATGATTCGACCAGTAGTTTCACGCGTAAAGCGTACCCGAACATCAAATAATAACTCTGCATAAAACACACAAATCCAGACAAACAACTGTAAAGGAAATGCTCTTCTATATTTGTTTTAATGATGTCAATACGCTTATGTCTTATTCCTTGAATTGGGTTGTTTCTATGGGAGAAATTGCGTGTGAGATGGTTGAAATGAAGTTCCTTGAAAAGTAAGCATTTTTGGGTGTTTGAAATGTTTGAGCCGACTCAAGCCCTGTTCTGGTCGACTCATGAACTAAAGAAGATCGATCCATCAAGTTCGGGTGTGCTCGCGTCGACCCCTCTGGTCGAATCAAATTGGGAAGAAGTCATTTCAGCTTGCATCGACTCATGTCCTGTTTCGGTCAACTCATCACTTGTACAAAGGTCTTCCCACAATCGTCGAGTATGCTCACGTCGACCTGTCCCTCTGCGTGAGTCGACCGCTCACTGCTTTCAACAGATTTTCTGCTATGTTTTTGGGTCTTGACTTTTTTCTAACACATAAATATCAATAGGGTTTCATTATTTTGTGCAACAAGAAAAGTGAAAGAGATACACAAAGTGCTCATCATCTTCAACCTCTCATTGCATTCATCAACAATTACACATAACAATTTTTGTTGACCAAAGTGCAAAGTTGTGTTGATAACGTTCAAATTGAAGATTGAAATTCTGATTTGGGTTGAGCAATTGTGGGTTTTTTCTTGAATAAAACCGTTAGGGTTCTGTCCTCCAAGATTCCATTTGGTGCAGGGGTTTTTATACAAGTATTTGCTTCAACGAATTCAGTCGAGTGAAATGATTGAGAAACTGTGGGTTTGCTCAATCAAGTAACGGTAACCGGAGGATTGTGAAGAAAGATTTTGGGTCAAACATCTTGTGATCAAAATCATCCTAATGAAATATTTGTAGAACAAAGAGTTCGTGCAATCAAGTAGCGGTAACCAAAGGTTTGTTCGAAGAGTTTGGCATACTTGGTTCATCTCGAATCAAGGGAAGAGAAGAGTATAATATCAAATTCAACAATTGTAAATTGTGTGGTGGTGACTATTTCTTCTCTTGTGATACTTTGCAACTTAATATCATAGATGTCAATTCTAGATTTAGAATTAGAGACAGACGTACCCTACCCGAGGACGACAAGGGAAACTTCCTGAACAAATCATGTGTTGTTTCTCTTTCTCTATCCTTTTACTTTCATTTGTTATAATTTGTGTGATATAGATTGTTCAATTGATTTTATAGTGATTGTAGTGATTAAAACTTTTCTTACAATTATCATAACAATCAATTTGATTGTTAGAGAAGAAAATTCATCACTACAATTAAGTAAAATAGAACTTATTGTGTTTGTGCACACCAAGTGTTTGATAAATTGATAACACACAAATTAGTGATTTTGTCAAGTTTTATCTTAAACAATTCATTGGAAGTAGTAAGTACTCATTGATATTGTTTAAGTGATTAATTGTTAAGTAAGTGCATTGATTCACTTCTCATCATAAGAATCCCATTTGATTTCGTATATCCGATCTTTTTAATAACAAATCGTTTTAGACGATTTTGATTCAGGAAGCTTTCGCCATTTTTCTAAATATTCTAAAAGCGTAATTTTAAGAAAAGGATCTATTCAACCCCCTTCTAGATTCGTCATATCGTCTAACAAGTGGTATCACGAGTGCCAGTTTATCTAGTGCTTCACATATAACTTTTTAAGAAAATGAAAAATGATCAAAAATGGGCGTACAATAAAGCGCCTGTTTTTAATGGTGAAAACTATAGTTATTGGAAAGATTGTATGCGGGTGTATATCAATTATGTTAATAGAAAAATATGGAAAGTCATTGAAAATGGTCCTATGGAAATAACCATGGTCAATGAGGTTGGTTCCACCATACCTAAATCGGAAGCACAATGGAATGATGCCGATGAGAAAAATTATAGCTATGATTAAAAAGGTAAAAATATGCTCATAGCATCCTTAGGTGTTGATGAGTATTTTAGAGTCTCTCATTGTGCTACTGCTAAGGCAATGTGGTACGCATTACAAGTCGCCCATGAGGGAACTAATGATGCCAAATTAACTAGAATCAATACATTAACTCAAGAGTTCGATCTCTTTCACATTA